ATATTAGCTATCTAATTACAGTGTTCACTCAGTCATTCAACAAACATTCACTGTATTTCCACTACGTGCCAAGTGTAATGGCAGATACTGAGGATACAGAAATAAAAGACCCTGCTTTCCTTTGAAGACGTTACAGTCTAGTGGCTGAGAAAAAGAGAAGACAAAAATCTCATCTAACTAAGCTCCAATCTCTATGGAGTACTTGAGGTGACGTCATTTTAAAGAGGTTAGGTGATGGTTCCTGGAGGATGTGACTCAAGCTGAGACACCTAATATGAGACAAAGGATGCATGAACCATGATCCAGAATCAAGATAAAACACACCAAATTCTGCAAACTGAAGACAACTGAGCAAGACTGTGAAGTAAGCTAATATTAAGATAGCATGAGATGAGGCCTAAAGGGTAGAGGGAATTGAGATCATGAAGGGTTCTATATTCTCTGCTAAGAACTGATTTCTGAAAAAGATGGAAGATTTTTGAAAGGGGTGATGACATGATTACAGGTGCATTAAAAAAAAAATAATAAGCATAACAGTCTAAATAAAAGGCATACAGATGGCAAAGGAAGAAAAAAACTGACCCTATCTTCGGGTGACATGATTGTCTACATAGAAAATCCAATAACGAATAAAAAAGTACAACAAAATTGCCAATATAAGGCCAATACACAAAAGACCAATTGAATTTCTATACACTAACAATGAACATATGGAAACCGAAATTAAAAAGAACACAAAATGTTTTTCACAATTCCTCCAAAGAAAATGAAATGCTTAGTATAAATCTAATAAAACATGTATAGGATCTGTATCCTGAAATTTTCAAAATGCTGATGAAAGAAAAATAAAAAAGAGCTAAATAAATAGACATACTGTGCTCATGGATTGAAAGACTCAACATAGTAAACATGTCCAGCCCCCACATTGATTTTAAGTATAATGCAATGCCTATTCCAATCCTAGCAAGGTTATACAAGTGTGTGTGTTTGTGTGTGTGTGTATATCTATCTATCTATCTATCTATCTATCTATCTATCTATCTATACATATACATACTTATTTATTCTAAAACTTACATAGAAAAGTAAGGTCCTATAAAAGCTAAATCAATTTTGAAAAAGAATAATAAAGTGGAAGGAATAATTTTACTTGATGTTAAGGGTTACTGTACAGGTATAGTAATTAGGAAAGTTTTAGTGAAGGGATAAATATATATCAATGGAAGAAAATAGAGAACAAAAACTAGATCACAAAAAAGGTACCCAACTGACTTTTGACAAGGGTGCAAAAGCAATTTAACATAGGATCAATAGACTTTTCAACAAATGGTGCTGAAGGAACTGGACAGCCATAGTAAAAAAAAACAACAAAAAACGACTTTAACCTAAATCTTAATACCTTATACAAAATAAAATAATAACTTAAAATAAATCATGGACTTGAATTTGAAATGTAAAATTATAAAATCTTTAGAAAAAATAGAGAAAATATTTGGGACATGGAGCTAGGCAGAGTTGTTACAATTGATACCAACAGCATAATCCATAAAGGGAAAAAATAATAAGTTGGAATTCATCAGAATTAAAATCTTTTGCTTTGCAGGAAACCCTGTAAAGAGGGTGAAAAGCTACTGACTAGGAAAAATATTTGCAAACAACATATGTGACAAAGGTCAATTATTTAGAATATACAAAGAGCTCTCAAAAGTCAACAGTAAAAAACAAAACAATGCAATTAAAAATGGGCAAAAAAACAGGAACATACACTTTGCTGAAGAATATACAGATGGCAAATATGCACATAAAAATATGTTCAACGAATTTAGCCATTAGGGAAATGAGAATTAAAATCACAGTGAGATATTACTATATACTATCAGAATGGATAAAGAAAAAAAAAAAAGAAAAATAGTGATACTGCCAAATGTTGACGAAGATGCTGAGAAACCAGATAACTCATACTTTACTGGTGGGATAGAAAATAGGATAGCTACTCTGGAAAATATTATGACAGCTTCTCATAAAACTAAACATACTTATCATACAATCCAGCAATTACACTATTGGGTATTTATCCCAAAGAAGTGAAAACTTATATTCATACAATAACCTGTACAAGGATGTTTATAGCAGCTTTATGCAAAATAGCCCCAAAATGAAAGCCATCCAAATGTCCTTCAGTGGGTGAATGATTAACCAAAGTGTGGTACTCGTCAGCGATAAAAAGAATGAACCGAAAATACATGCAGCAACTTGGATGGATGTCAGTGTAATTCTACTGAGTAAAATAAGACAATCTCGAAAGGTTACATTTTTCCTTTTATATAACATTCTTGAACTGATAAATTATAGAGGAGATCAGATAAGTGGTTGACGAGGGATAGGGAGGGCGAGGAGGGACAGAGTGGGGCTGTAAAAGGCGACTCCTCATGCTTTCTGTGACAGTGCTCACACAAATCTACCTGTGTGATAAAATTAGGCATAACTAATATAACAGACAAAGATTAGTGTATGTGAAACTGGTGAAATATGAATAAAATTGGTGGATTGTGTCCAAGTCAATTTCCTGGTTGTGCTATGTTACTGTACTATGCTAGATGTTACCTTTAGGGAAAGCTTGCTGAGAGGATTAAAGAGTCTCTATTATTTCTCATGACTGTGTGTGAATCTATAATTACCTCAAAAGAGTTTTTAAAAAGCATTTTAGGTGCATATAAGGGTAGATTAGTGATGACGGTGGACTATGCAGGATTTCCTGGGTCACTGGCTATGTGTGTGTTTGTTGGGGGGAAGGGGGGAAGAACGGGACATGGTCTATAATGACCACCCGGTTTCTTCCTTGGGCTTTATTCATCAGGAGAGAAAACAGAGGCGCAGACGATTGGAGACGACCAGTGACTGAACTCAATTTTGACCTTGCTGAGTTTATTTTCCATCACCAAGCAGAATATATAAAATGAGAATTCCAGAAGGATGAACAGGAATCCCTGGAAAAGGGAAGTGCGTGGTGGGCTGGACTCTGTACATATAGTCTTCATATAGCTTTCAACGCATAAGCGAATCAAAACATCGGCGTCACCAGCATATCACGACAAGGGAATTTTTTTAACTCAGAGGCAAGAATAAACATACAAAAATATCTGTGGGAATTTCAGATACAGGCTGGATAAAAGGATTTGCATTTCCATTACGTGTTACAGTAAAAAGGAATTGCTATTGAGTACCCTCTTGTGTGTCAAGTTCCACACTGGTGTTCCGAAGTATTATCCCGTGTAATCCTCACAATAGGCTTAAAAAGTTAAGTTTTATTATCTACAATTTCTAAACAGAAGTTAAGTAATTTGCCAAATGAAACGAAGCCTATGAGTAATTTCTTGGGCTAGAATTTGAATGTAGATGCATCTAACTTCTAAACCCACATTCCTTCCAGTACATGGAGAAGCTTGGGGACAGCAGATCATAAAAACTTAAAAACAGCAGATTTTTGTATCCTTGCTTATTTAGGGGTTTTTGGTAGAGTTCAACATCTACATTTATATTTGTAAGTGTTCAGTTTGCTACAGGGACAATATAAAGGCTCTGTTTAGGGTGCTTGCCCCACCTCTACAGAATGGCAAGCCTGTATGGCGCCAAATGTATATATTCATGGCTCCCCACTCTCTGGATACATTTGTCCTGGCGGTACCTTATGGACTGGGTTAGGAAGGGCTGACTTTCTTACAGTAATGGTTAAGGAGTCCCCTCCTTTTTATTTACCCGTTAACGTATTTCTTTCTTTTCAGGTAGGCAGGCTAGGTAGATTCCTTAACAAGCACCTTTCACCTCAACTAATAGAAACAGGTGAACAGCAGGAGTCTTCAGGTCTGTTTCCAAACTTCCATGATGCACTAGCTCCATTAGCTTCTAATGTGGGATTTCCTAAACCTCTACACCAGCAGGCTAGTGGACAAAAAATAACTTTCCCTCTCCACAGAAAATCTTGTACATTCTAAGATTTGTTCTTCTCTGGTGGTTTTCCATATAATCTATTTTTAGCTCATATATTTTCTTTGAAGTATTCCATTTCAGGTTCTGAAGGTTAACACATCACGGCTCTGATCTCTAGGGCTTGCGAGTCAGGTCAAATTCAAGACTATACATCATGGTCCACTTCATTCACAACCAAGAACAGTCAAACCAAGTCTTGGAAAGGTAATTTTCATGTAGAAAGTCGACTTCTCTCCTTAATCAGCATACATGAAGCTTCACTATGTCCAAAAGCCTTTACTAGTACTATTATTCAGGAATCTAAATTTAATTTTCAAAGGCATTTCAACAGGAAACTCCGCACATCTGATCCCACATACATCAAAATGCAGACTCAAGCCTGAGTAGTGTATCTCATATAAATACTAACAAGGTGGGCGGGGAGTGGGGGATATGAGCACGTTTTTTGCGATCTGATCCTCTGTTGGCTCAGTTCATTTTGATCCTTCACCTTTGTAAAGCATCCAAACCTTAGGGATAGATTTAACGTCTCGCCCTTCACGCCACCTAGTGGTTATAAATGGTATCTGTTTGGTTTTAAGGAAGATTCCTAATGACTGGGGGGGCGGGGTGCACGAAAAACAAAACGGTTGGCCGCGACAATTTCCTAGTTTCTCCCTACATCACATCACTTACCCCATCACCAGGACACCTTGAACTACTTTAACGGTTTTAGGTCTGCGCGGAGATGCGCAGAGGGACTGGAGGGGACGCACATTCACACAGACTCAAGCCCCTGGACGCTGACATTTAGAAAAAGGTTCTAAATCCTTCCTGTCATTCGCAAAAGGACGGGAGACGGAGTTGTGGTAAGAGACCTAGACCGAGGAGACTGCCTGACTTCTAGGCATGTTGGACAGATGACGTGTTTACCCCTGCAACGTTAACATCTGGTTTGAACAAATAAAAAGAAAGAGAAAGAGGAAAAAGCCCTTAAAAATTCCGCCGCGAGGCTTTGAGGGCTTGCTCCCCAGGAGCCCCCAGAAGACAACCAATTCCGGCGCGTTCCGCTCCGCTCACCCTCCTGCTCAGCTTCTCCCCTTCACCTTTTCCCACGCTCGCCTGGAACCGGGACCGGGGAGGCAGAAGCCAGGCACCGGTCCCCGTCCTCCTCGCCTCCCCCGGCGACCGCAGCCAAGCGCGCGCAGCTTCCCTTTGTTCAGCCAGGCTCTCTCTCCTCCCCGGCAGATCCACCTGGATGCTCTCCCTCGGTGACATTTTGCGCCGGGGCTGGTGGGTGGCTGGGGTGGAGCGAGAGCAGCCCGAGGGGGCGGGGGCGGAGAAAGGTCAAGCCGAGGGAAAGGTGGGAGACGCCTTTCAGAACCTGCGTGGCGGGGCGTGCGCGCCGTTATTTATTTTCTCCCTCTTTATCGATCGCACGGGCAGAGCGGCGCGGGGAGCCGGGGGACATGCGGGACCACCCACTGGCGGGGAAGCAGCGAGCCGCCCCCCCGCGCCCCCGCGCTGCTGAGCGCCTCCTGCCTCCGCGCTCCGGCGATTGCCCGCGCCAGCCCCGGC